CAGCTATTCCAGCTTCTTTCTCAAGCTCAACTCACAGCTGTCAAGCTGAAGATCTGTGAACACTGCCACTTTTCCACTGGAATCACATGTCAGTTAACTTGTTTCCACTTCAGATACATACATAATCCGGATGATAGATTTTTCCAATTACACTTCATAAAGATGGGCGTTGTACAGAAATCGACGGTCAGTACACAACCTTATAACAAGCACCACGAATCAACTGATCGAAATATGGAATTACGAAGGAGTGAAGACCTTTCCGGGAATCATTGTCACCGTGATGAAACTGAAAATGAGTAGTGATGGACACATAGGTTTGAGTGAACTATTTCAAACCCTCATCTACGTATCCATTGAATATATCACACAATGATGCGGCCGTATCCACTGCATGATAATGTTTCGAACAAAATTTACTGTTCACAATCCGATCAATTGTAACTAAAAACGTCAGAAGCTTGATTTTCATAGTTCTCTTTCGCCCTTCTCGTCTGTTGTAAGGATTGTTCAGTTTTCCGTGTGTCAGAAGTTAGTGTTGAGTCATTCCTGTTCCGCGTGTTCTCTGTTGATTTGATGAAAGTGATCCTGGTATGCAAAGTGAGAAGCGCTCAAAGCTTACGTAGAATTCACAACAATGCAGTCACATTCAAATACACAAACTCGAAAGGCAACAAATCAGCTCGGTTTAGGTCTCCTGTGAAGACAATTTCAGCAAAACATGTCGATCCTTACAATGCCCTGCAATGATTGTATGGCCACATACATGAGTGGAAGTAGTAGGCTGAAGTCAGTGGGACCGGTGGGACAAGACGGAAGCCTTATTCAATGAATCAACTGAGAACACGGAAACAGGTGTAAGTCAACACTTATTCCGGACACCTGGAAAATTCTACTAGCTTTACAGCGAATACGAAGGAAGAATGAGAACTATGAAAATGATATTTCCATGTTGAGCAGTTACAGGCGGACAATAGAATTCGTTCGAAACGCTGTCATGCACTAATTACTACTGTACTATTGTCTGTTATTTCCAATAAACAAATTAAAATGCAATCACATACTGACTACCGCAGAACTCAAGATTTTCACACAGATAACAAACGCTGACAACACCGTCATAGAGCGTGTGACTCACTGTAATTCAACGCGTGCATGTTAAAGCGTGGTCTGATCTAGTTTCCACTGAGTGTTAGTCCCACTTCTGCTGATAAAGTGTATTAACGCTACAGTCAAACAAATCGGGTAAGTCTACTTACATACAATAATGATATTACACAAGAAAAGAAATCAACTCAGAACTCACATGAATGTTGTCCTTGCCAATCCTGTGATAACACAGAACAAAGGATGCGTTATATTGCAGTGAGAGGTGAATTGAAGTTGATATGGCATAGACTACACGACCTGAAGTCAACGTCTCAACACACAATTCTTCCAAGTGTTTAACGGTGAACTTATTCCTTGGAAACCTGTTCAGCTTCGCCTCGTTTGTCATGCACACAGTCGCATAGCTATTCAACCCTAACGATTGGTCGGTATTCCTGGAAACATCGGCTACACATGTGACACCTAGTTGGACACCATCATACCACAAATCATCCGGTAGAGAGAAGTGGATTTTCGGAGCAGGAACTCCATGTCTTTCATCACTCTGACCAAGTTGGCAAATCAAATTGAACAGACCATCTCGTTGTATCACTAAACGTGGATCAGATATTGACGAGAGGATACATTTGTGACAATCTTCAACTCTGCTGAAATTCGGGAGAAGATATATTTGTTTATTCGTCCTCAGTAATTCAGTCACTGCGCTCCTATCTGAATCCGAATTGTGAGTGAAAACGCTGACTATGGTTGTGTTTAGTTTGTGTGATTCATCTAGAAACGAAGCAACATCTTCTGAGATGTCAATGTTCATAGTGTTATCCAGCGTCAGAAGCAACACCCTGTGTCTTACTCCAACGTCTCCTCCTTTCTCTCCTTCTTCTAAGTTCATCGACATGAATGCACGCAATGCATTATTTAAAGATATTCTACGATTTGTACAGTCTGGAGTCGAATAGTCGGACGCCGGTCGAATATGTCTGGAGTAGATTTGTCTGACGAGTTGCTTTCTGGAGAGCTGATGATTCAGTTGTATTCCCGAAGCGTATCCACTGTCCGACTCAGTCAGATGTGATGGGTTATCATGGGAACAATACTGATACGCGTCAGTTGCGATCCATGTGGTAGACCGAGTATGATCTGGCGAACTAGAGTGAGGAAATGATGTCCGAAGAATCCAATCACACTTCCTGACCCACTGTCGACATCAGACAGCCCACATTCAGACAACAGGTTTGCACTCATTGTAATGAACAAATCAAGTCTAACATCGAGTGTGGAACATATTGCAATCGATAGATGCACCTGTCTCATGATTTCATACACATGCCCACTGACTACATTCTGGCCAGTGCATACATACAAGTGACTTGTGCCTCTGTAACGCTTGTCATCTGGCACACGCAACACTCTTCCCTCAACCACCAGGCCTGAATCGTCTTGATCTTCATAGAGTCTCGTCGCTGCATCACTCCAGCCCCCACCATCTTCCGGTAGGATGCTGGCGAAATCATCTTGCGAGTTGTCATCTGAATATTTCTTCGCCAATATCCGCTTCCATGAGTAGTTCAGCTTCGGCAACCCTTCACCTCCTGTGCACAGAAATTCCGATCCCAATGGGACGGGTTGGTTTTCATAGTCTGTGGCGTATGTCTCAATCGTCAGAGTACCACCTGCTGGCTCCTGTATTGTGTATGAGAGATTGCTTTGAAAACTGTAATGATCGAGTGGATGAATGACATCATAATCGAGATCGACATTGATGAAGCTACTGACGCATCGGACGAAAATTGGACCAGTGTAGACCGACGACTTGATTCCCTTTATCTTGAAGGAAGAGGCGTTGAGTCGAACATGGGACAGTGTTTTCGGTGTCTCGTTTGTGGCATCAGTCATTTCATGATGGAAGGCGTTTTCAAGACTCTTCGTTATGTTGGGTAGTTGGGCATAGTAGCAATGGACATAGGCTTCCTGATTGGACAGAAGATATGCATTTCCATTCTCATCCCTCTGCTCGTCCATTACTCTCCGCCTCCCGTCCAAGTCCATCGTCAGACGGATTCGAATGAAAGTGTCATCAGGAATGACAAACAACTCTCTCTTGTGAATCCCTGTGTCCACAGCATCACTGTCAGTATCCATAGGCACACATGTGTAGAGCCCTGAGTCCGAAAGCCTGGCTGAATCGAGCTGAACGAGAAATGACTCAGTTGTATGATTCGTTGTGACCAGGAATTCCGATCGAACGAGTGACCGCGATGAATTGCTGCTGGCTTGGTGGTAACAGATAATCTGACTGTCAGGTTTCGACGTTCTGAAGCGACCAAACATTTTCACCTGTCCACCCAATTTCACTGTAGCTGACCAGCCGATGTGAAGTTTAGTCAGACGGAAATCAATCTTGGCGCACTCACTCACACCCAGTGTGACGGCAGAAGCATCACTCTTCGCATCATTTCTCATCCACTGCTTGATGATTTTCGACAGGTGGTTTCCGAAATTTTCTTGAAGTGTTGTTCTGTTCTGTTCACTTGCTACCGGTGTAACCGCTGCAATCACGAGGCCAACATGTTGAGGCAGAAGCAGACAGGTCAAATGCATTCGATGTATTCGTGGTGACGATTTCCTTGGAGTGATGTGAGTGACTCTCTCCTCCTCCTCCGCCGCCGCCTCCTCCACAAGGATGCAATTCTCCTTCACAAGTCCACCATTAACTGACTCATAAAACAACCAAGAAAACACCCAGCCCTCTGGATAGCCAAGACTCACATCAAAGTGCACGTCAATCACTCCCTCGTGTAGGCGACTTTTCGACGTCATGGTGGAACTGAACCACGCAGAAGTGAGCAGTCCATGCGGCTGTTTCCTCAAGGCAGTAGTCAACTCAGGCCTGCTTGTTCGCATCGATCGGCCAATAATCAGTGTCCTTGACTCTATTCCAGTTAGAATTTTCGCTCGCCTAATCAGAAGACCTGCAGGCACTGAATTCCGAATATCACCATGTACAGAAATCTTGTCATATTGTAGTTGGCAAGATGCAGTTAGTACGCGATCTCCCTTGTCGCCAAGTTCATGCCCTGTTTTCAGGCTGTCAGGGATTTCGATGGCGTACATTGTCTTCGTTTCGATGTAGTCATCATAGTTCCTCATTTGTGAGTCAATTACCTTGTAGGACAATTCTTCATTTCCACTTGACTTGTTTAAAGTGTACTGGAATCCGCCGGTCAATTTCAGAGGCGAGCCTTTCGAAGCGTTATATTGACAAGTGACTATTGCACCTTGTCCAGCTGAAAGGACGTAACTGTCGGGCTGCAGACAGTCGTACGAAGTGTTTTCATCAGTTGAATCAGTCTCAGCTTCGAGGGTTATGCGTAAAATAGATCGGTCTGGAATGATGACCAGCTGCCTTTCTGACATAGTCGAACAACGATACAGACCGGAATCAGTGAATCGTGAGACACGTTTCGTGAGTGAAAAGTAACCGAGCGTCTTATTGACAGTGAGTAAATAGTCTCCTCCCAGATCAGTGTAATTGTCTCCACTTCTGTGTCTGTACTGACACCTTATCAAAGACTCGTGGGTGTGCAATCGAGCCAGCATTCTGATGGGAGATCCCAATTCTACTGAGGCTGGCCATCTGACAACAACACGAATCAGTCGATACATTCCATGTGATGTGGGTGGGAAATGCAAGGTGTCCGGATGTGATGATGTATGAGTGGAGTGCACAGACCAATCGGTGAGAGTTTCAATCATATGCCTGATAAATCGGTTCTCCACGGTCGACTTGTTCACAGTATCGGCATCGAAAGCATGAATTGCCACTAAGACGATGGCATAATGACTGGGCAGCAGTAAGCAAGTAGCTTGGTAAGTATTCGCTTGGACGTTGGGTAATATTTCCGTTGTACACCGATCTTCCACTAGCTGACCAGATTGTGTCATATCAACTGTTCGTGCAAAGGCCCAACCTTTAGGAATCCCAGGTTCAATGGTGTAGTTAACCTGAACAATTCCTTCCTCAATAACCTGTTCATCTCGGATTTGCTGAAACCTTATCCGGGTTTGCTCGACAGCTTCATCCTGTCTCAAAGCTGGCACTAATTGTTGCTGACTCGACTGAATCGACTCAGGTAGTATTGATGGCCTTCTATAATTCAGAGTAGTCATGTTTCTCGTCGTATTCAACAAAATATCGACTGTTCTTTCTTGTCGAGCGAGTCTCTGACCACGAATCGAATGGACGCCTGGCATGTTACACTGACAGTGGTGTTCAGTGAACTCTGATGACCAAAGAGTTTTAGGAAAACACCAATACTACTCTGATTGTCGCATTCGTCTCCGATTGAATTGAGTGTATTATTGTCATTGTGATACTGCTGATTGACGTGATGTTGCGAACGCCCCATCGGTCGAAGCGTTATATTCAGTCGCACATTCTTCTTGTCGACGTGTGATACATTCAATATGCAATGCACAAACAGTGTCTGATTTACGTAGATATAAGAGGTTTGATTGTTGTCGGACTGGTGAAATGCATTCTCTGTGATGAGTAGATTTTCACACTGATTCGACTGTCGATGGGTGATGAGCATGTTTAGATCCTGCTTCCTGGGCAAGATTGTGACTGTTGTAGACGGCAAACCATCTATTGAAAGGCATGTCGGGCATTCCTCCATTCTGCATGTGTACACTCCAGCGTCATGCAAGTCTGCATGTGCTTTGTAAATTGTGAACACCTTCTTCTCCTTATCTCGTATCAATTTGAATGAGTCAAAATCAACTGGAACCGGCGTTCCATCAGCCAGCTTTTTGTGGTGACACACAGGTTCACCTTCACCGAGTAAACCCAACCGACCACTCACAATCAATGACTCATACCTGTCGACGATGATGTTACTGTCTACTCTTATCTTGGTGATGCGATATCCCACAAATGATCCACGATGATATGATATCGGTGTTTTGACGCGACTCTTGGGGCCTCTCATCCACTCCTGAATACGTGATTTCGTAGATGATATGAACGTGTCGACTACTTCTTCCTTGACCACCTTCTTCCTGTAGACATTCATCGTGGCTAGCAAGACGGCTGTGTGCCATTGATTCACTCTGCATAAGAAAGTTACGTTGACGAGATTCTCAGAGGTGTTAGCTTTCCGATAATCTTCGCTTCTCTGGACGACATCTGGTATGTCGTTGGAATGCAAGTCGATTTGACTCAGGCGAATGCACTGATCACTTTGAACATTCTTGCTTGCTCGATAGAACAACCATAAATCGACCCAGCCCCTAGGAATGCCGAGAAATGCTGTGAAATTCACATAGAAGTAACCCGGTGACAATCGACTCGCTGGTACCGTTGACTCGAATTGGACAGCCGATGAAGACATGTAGGCTGACTTCTTTGTCAGACTTTGCTCCACTTCTGTGCAGTCTGATCTGATAGTGTCAGCAAACACGTGAGGTGGTTTCGCGGATAATAGAGTCAATTTCAGTGACTTGGAAATCGACTTCGGATATCCTTCACCACTGTTTAGATCGTGTGGGATTCTCACGTGGTCATAGATGTTCAGAGTGCATGTGACTGATAATTCTGAGGAGAGTGACAGCGATCCGGGAGCTCTGATCTGATAAGTCGACCAGGTGACTGCGCTCAGTGAATACGGAATTTGTTCATCAATCAATTTGGTATAGTTTCTCTCCACGCGTTTGCCATTTTCATCTCGCTCTCTGTAACGGAAGGTGAAATTTGATTCAAATAAATTTGTATATGTGGTTTTGTGCAGGCATGTCACAAACTGGATTTCATCATACGTCAGTGAATATGCTTCTGAAGTCTCTTGCCTAGATTTCCCATTTCTCAGGATTCCCAACCTCTTTGGCAGTTCATCCGACATATAGATTCCTATCACTGACTTGTCTGGAATAACATTCAGTTGACGGGACGTGAAGCCTACATAACGTTTGCAAGTGGCGCACGAACTGACAGTGCATGTATAGATGCCAGAATCCTCATACTCAGCTGATGATTTGTACAAGGCGAATGCACCTGTGTGTGGGTAGCTAATCACCATATTCTTTGGTAGGTCTGATGGGTCGCTTGATGCATTAGCCTGATGAGTGCAAAACAATCTCACCTTCGAAGCATTCTGTAAACTTCCAAGCATGTGTATCTCCGATCCGATTCTCACTGAGGCATTCCAACCCACGTACAGCTTGATCAGCCTGTATGTTGACAAGCATCCTCTCGGTGCTACAAAACCGCTTGACACTGAATTCCTGCTGTCCGATAAAAGTGACTTGATTGTGACGACCAAGGACTTTCTCACGTGGTTGGCGACAACATGATTGGACACACTTCTATCATAGACACTGATCACTGCAATCGCTAGCGCTGAGTGCTCTTGTCTCATATTGCAATGCATAGTCAGGTTAACTAAATTCTGCCCACCGGCCATTTGAACTGCCTTCACCGACTTGATTGATTCAGGTACTTGCGTCCTCTGGATACTCTGAATCTCGCCAATCTGACAATCATCAGTTATCAGTGTTGCATTACCCTCGAAGACTAACCAGCCATATGCCACACCGACGGGTACACCTAGGAATATAGTGCTACTGATAGATAAGCTGCCCTCAGGTATTAGGGATTCTGTGGTGGTTTTACTGAACACGTGCTGGTCATATTTCGTCTCATCAGACAAACTCCTCAATTTCGACTGGATTAGTAAAACATTTGTCGTTGTGAAGTTAGAAAAGATCTCCGGTTTTATTCGGTACTCCATGAGAAGTGCTAATGATTTTGTCACAGTGACACCACGATACATACTCTTTGCGAGTGACGTTGTGGGCGGGAGTAGTTTCGGGATTTTCAACTCACACTCGACTTCTAATTGGCCAAGATACTTATTCATGTACGGACCGGTTATTTCGAATATCTCCACACCAATCATGTAGAAGGCTTCATCGATGATGAAATTCGAGTGATTTTTGTAGTCCAGTGGTATTCGACGTGATCCGTTCGGAGATGTAGAGGAGTATGTGAATTGGACGGATCGTTCACCAATGTCTGTGTATGGCCACACATAGATACAATGAACATAGTGGATCTCGTCCAACAAGAGTAGGCTAGTTCGCTCCTTGTCATTGATGTCATCATGACTACTCTCGTTAGGGTTTATTAGTTGTCTGAGGCGTTTGACTACTTTCATGTTGTCATCACCTTTGCTCCCATTAAATGACAAACGTGATCGGCTCACATAGATGAACAGCGTGCTTTCATCAGGAATTACAGTGAGTTGACGACGGGTAAATCCAAGTGAATTTTGACAAGTTTGGCACTCAGTATCAGTGATATTACATGCGTAAATACCTGAGTCGGTGAATGAGGCAGATTGCTTCACCACACTAAACGCTGCATCGTCCACATGAATTTGTATACGGAAACCACTGGGTAGTTTTGTTGGACTACTGGACATATTTTGTTGATAGGTACAATTAATCTCCGGCCGACTACTATTCCCCAGACTCCCTAGCATATGTACACTGGATCCAATGTTAACATGTGCTCTCCAAGTGATGTTCAACTTGATCAGAATATGTGTTAGCAGTGATCCATTAGGGGTGGAAATCACATTGGAAGACGCTTCCGTTTGCCCCATCCACATTCTAACCCTTCTCACCAGAGATACTTTAAGATGTGTCCTCACGTCCTCATCACTTGTCTGATTCTTGTTGTAAATGTTGTATACGAGAAATGCCAGTGCTACATGCTCCTGTCTCACAACGCATCGTACGCTGAGATTGAAAAGATTTCCGAGTGAGTTTGTTTGTGAACTGGCGATTTGTTAATCACCGCGCGAAGTCTGGGCCTATCCTCAGTATTCACCAACTTGATATTGCAGGCTTCTGCAGAATACTCCACATCATCGCTCTCCTTGTCATTTTCACCACCACGATCGATGTTTCCACTGGCTCGATACACAGTGTAGATGAGGATTTCGCCTGGAGGGTCTCCAGTCATCACCAATAATTTACACCTCTCCACGTGTTCCCGTGCTGATAGTAGTCTCAAGCCGCTTCCTCCAGTCGATGATTTCTCTTCAACAGATGAATCCTGAATCGTGTTTTGGAGACTGTCATCTGCACACTCAGTGAGATGACGGAATATGTATGGTCTCACTTGTTTCTGAGAGTATATCCACTTGGTTTTCGTAAACATTGGTAGTTGTTCCATGGGTGTGAACAAATCGTTGGGTAAAGGTGTCAGACGTTTATAAACTAGTTTACACCTAGCTTCTGTAGGACCGACGTAATCCAATGGCTTTGGCGCCCTCACTCTGTACGTGAAGGTATCTATCACTAAAGCGTTGACTTCAGACGTCTTCCTGTTTATAAACCGAGGCGGAAGTGGTTGGCTTTTATTTGTGTACTCGTCATGAAGTACTTGAGAATACGCACACACAGTCTCAGCAAACATTGAGGCGTAACGTTCACATGAACATGAGACATATATTGTCTGTCCAGGCTTCAGCATGATTTCCTGTTTATCGGAGTATTCAGTGTGCAAGTGACTTGACTGAGGGTTTGTCAGTTGGAGAGTGGAACTCAGGTTAATGCTTACACTGTTCGAATCTGGAATGACAAATAAGAACCGACGCGTGAATCCGGTGTACGAGTCACCATTCTGTTTGTTGAATACATTACAAGAATAATAGCCTGCGTCTTGCAAACTGACATTGTGTTTCAGCATGATGAAACTGTGTGTCGACGTTTGCAAACTGATCGTTACGCCCTTCTTCATTTCAGTCAGTGGATGCTTTGTGAGACCTTGATAGAAACATTTCACTTCAGTCTGAGCATTACTCAGCACCGGTAGAATTCCCAACATCTTAGCAGTAGAATTCAAAGTCACTGTCGCATACCAACCAATGTTCAGTTTGATGTATCGATAATCATAAGAAATCCCATATGGCAAAGACACATCTCCAACGTGGTTGTTCAACATATTTTCAATCCGCTTGGTTACAGCATCTTCTATAATCTTCCTAACTGCTGTACTATTCACAGTTCTAGAATAGACATTGTGTGCTACGAAAATAAGTGAAACATGTTCTGGTCTCAGGGTACACTGAAATGATGCATACGAAAGCGTACTTCCATATTTCTCTGGTGACAGGTTCTGCATACTCCCGATCTCATGGCACATTTCTTTGTAAAGTGTCGACGTCTTCTTCTTCTTCTTATCGCGGTCATTCCCATTCTTACGATACACTGACCATACATAGGTCCTTCCTCTCGGACAACCCAATTCAAGTGCATAAGAAATACTGACAACACCTTCTGGTATGAGAACGCCAGATGCACTTCGATTGAATTCATACTCATTAGAATAGTTGTTTCTCGATTGTCTAATCGATGTTTGTAATGGCAGCCACGAATCAGGTTGTGTTTCAGCCTTGTGCATAAATAGCATCGGCTGAGATTTGCACAAAACATAAATCCTCAGTGAGTTATGCCACTGATGTGTGGAACTAATGTTGTATGTCATTGCATATTCCAGCCGATCGAAATTCAACTGATATATCTGATTACACTTCACAGATAAGACTGAGTAGTCATTCGATTTATGTATATTATCAGGTATCTGAATTCGGTAAGAGGCTACAAATGCAGTCTCGTTCACATATCCACTGAATATTTGACTAGCTTTATCATGAACATCCTGAGTTGCACTATTTGTCAGTTTGCTGATGATTTGATATTCGAATTTCACGTGTCTAACGATGTAAGCGCTGTCTTTGTAATTGCTAAGACAATGAATAACCAAGCTCTGTCCAGTGTAGCCGTATACACTACCATTGTTGAATGTTTGATTGAAT